TGGTAGTAGCAGTAATGGCAGTGGCAGTAGCAGTAGCAGTAGTAGTAGTAGTAGTAGTAGTAGTAGTACTGTAGTAGTAGTACTGTAGTAGTAGTAGTAGTAGTAGTAGTAGTAGTAGTAAAGTAGTAGCAGTAGTCGTCGTCGTAGTAGTAGTAGTCGTCGTCGTCGTAGTAGTAGTAGTAGTCGTCGTCGTAGTAGTCGTCGTCGTAGTAGCAGCAGCAGCAGCAAGCACGGGCAAGCACCGGTAGCAGTAGCAACCAAGCAGGCTAGGACACCACTGGAAACAAAAGCCCTCCATTCAGAAATGGATTCCGAAGTTTCCGCAAACAACATGTCCGTAACCATTGTGGTGAGGAGCCTCGTCTAAAACGAGGTCAGCTACTGGCTTGCGGTGATTTTGGAAAGACCTGGGTTGTGATTGTTCTTGCATCTCATGGGACCTTCAATGATGATCATGACGACAATGAGTCACCGACGAAAGCAGTTCCCTGGAGCTTCGCTGCCAGAAGCCTGACCCACGGTGCAAGCTGCAGACTGTCTAGAATTTCAGATGCCCTGAATGTCGTTACGATTTGCTTTTGACCTGCTGGTAAGCCGTCTGCGCACGGCACTGTCTCCACCACCGGTCACGATGAAGTTGGAGGACTCCCGCACCACTGTCACCCCTTGCCTGCTTCGCGGGTCCCTCTTCAACAGATATTGAGCCTTTGTCCCGCCTGTGACAGTTCACCTGCCACAGCAGTCTGCTGCTGCCCTTCTCGGCAGACCATGCGCGCAGGAAGCCATCGTCCTGGCATCAGTGGTGCACACTGGGCGGCCGATGCCGAATGATCAAACTGATCTGACGTTGATCTGATTGACGCCATGCAACATAACCAGCAAGGATCTCTCCATTGCTGGCAATGACCTTGTGGAGAAGTCTTCCCACAGTGTTTTCAACTTGAGCTGAACAGTAAGTCACGACGGCACTTCGAACCGGTGACTTCGCCAGGGCCGAGGTGACGGGCATGTAGTCCGAAAGGTCCAGGAGGAACACCTCTTCGTTTGAGCAGTGTGACGCATCTTAGATCTTGATAGCAGCTGGCCTCACCGGTGTCCGATGTGGTGCACACCACATCGCTTTTCGCTCCAAACGAAATATCTGTCACCTGCACACAGGTGCAGGCATGAATACCACGGAGTTCAGCATTGGAAGAACCTTGTTAACAGGACACCTGTTGCACTTCGCGTCTGCCTCGGGAACTTACATGTAGCAACAAATGCAGTTGCAAGCAGCAGCAACTCCATCCAACACTGTGATTGTAATGACGAGAGGCATCTACGACAATGTGTGCGTCATGTGCCTGCTCTGTGGATGAGTCACTTTGACATACTTTGACCTTCCTCCAACGCCACTCTTGTTGGAGTGGGCTTTGCTGCTGGTCTGGCGTGGTCTACCAGGTTTGTGTAACGGATGTTGGTCCGTGATAGTGGCTGCATGTACCGTGTACTGTACCAACACACCTGTAGAAAGCCGTGCGGCAGGCCTCGCCAGTGTGCGAGGCGCTTTGCAAGGTGGCTGTTAGATCCGAGGACAGAAGTCTCCACATCTTGCCATTCCTGCGTCGTGGACTCACTGCATGCCTGGACAGAACCCTGCCAGCGGCAGAAGCATGGACCTTGTACCAGCAATTAGCTCTGCACCATCGGCCGAAGGCGTCAGTGCCTAAGGAGATACACGGCAAGCTTGAGAACGAGACAACTGCTGCTCTGCGAAAAAATCAGGGCATGACCGTCACTCCAGCTTCTAGCACGTTCTCTGCGAGGACCTGCTGAGGCCGTCAGCTCGAGATAAGCGGTGCTACGGTACTACGTGCACCGACTCCCAAGCCTACCAAGTGCCCTCCCCTGCAACTGCCACACACAGAGGCTTAAGTCCAGGACGTCCCAATGCGTGTCAAAGCCACGAACCGCTTTTACCCTGCCGTCGCCACCAGCCTGGGCTCTGAGTTCTCCTCACACTTCAGTGGTCCTAAGATCTTAGTATCGTGCCACGAAGAGGAAGTCTCCATACCTGAGGCATCCAAAGTCGAACCTTTGAGATCCCTTCGAGTTTGGCAGAGATCATGCCAAGCATGCTAGCATGAAAATGCTGCCGAGGATCTGCGCTATCCCTGTAACACCTCAACCGAGTGGACGCAATGCATCCGTGACGCAGACAATCAGCAACAGTCTGAGTGCTCCGCCGTTGTTGCAAATGGGAAGGGCGGTGCGGAAAACCTCCCATGCTGTCCATGGGCAGTCACAATCTTCGGCTTCCGGGGCAGTCCTTCGTCTTCAAGCTGAACACACACACATCTCCAGCAGATGTACCTGCACTATCCCGATGCACGAACAGGTGCAGAGATTACGCATGGTCACTGTTGTGTTGACGATGCCTGTTATCAGGAAATCTGCGACCACCAGGCCGCAGATGTGTTTCCGCTGCAGGCCAGAGGGAGGAAATCTCAGATTTTCGTGGCTTCAAAGGGACGAAGTCAAGATTCATTGTCTTGGCGTCTGGCTGCATAGCATCGCTGCCGAGTGAATACGACATGGACCTTCGGCCAGTCTGAAAGCTGTCTCACGACGTCGCACGTCTGGCCCGACCCACTTGCACTGCGTTGCTCTCAGCTTCCAGGCCGCATGTCGAAGCTCATGAGATGGTAAAGAACTTGGCTGTCGTAGGTGGTGCAAAGCCTGGGAAAGTTGAAAGTCGACAAGCTTTGCCAAGCTTTAAACGCCTTATTGCAACAAACATCTCTCCAAGGACAGTTGCCAACTTGGGCCTGGACTGATAGGACGGATATCGCCTTGGTGATGGACTCAACGGTAATGCAAAGCTGCTGCTTCCCGGATCAACCCAATTGACGATGAGATGGCAAGGGAACGGCGGATGGGACAGCCAGTGCCGACGAGCGGTCATGGATCGTGCGCGGGGATGGACAAACGACATGGTGTTCGTGGCACCACCCACGTGGCTTGCCGAGTATCTCGGTACTTCAAGGAGGTGCATGGCGAAAGGCACGACAACAAACTACAGAAACTGTTCTTGCTGAGCAAGGGTTGGTGACATGATAGGACGGAGCTCGGGGTTCTCGGTTCCAGACATGGCTCTCGCAACGAAAACGATCCTTTTACTCACACAGCGAACATGCTTCAGTACGTCTAGCCCCTTTACAAAACGGGCTTTAAGAGCTGTGAGCTTCGGACCGCTGTTGTACAAGTTCTGGTCTAGCTTCACAACTGGCTCAGTCATCTCGACTTAAGCAGAAAACAAGGGCATGAAGACATGGTCCACGAGGCATCCACGCTCCTCCTTGCTAGCAGCTTCCGGCATGCTAGCATTGGCACAACCATGTCTGAAAAGGTGGCGCTCCACGCCACACAACGAAAGCCATCCACTAGGCTTCCTTCCATCTAGCTATCCATAGCGAGATGCGACGTCGATGATTTATATCGTTCCAGAGAAGCTTGCACCGGTAATCCAGCGATCTCGTTCTCCAGATATAGAGGACATATTTGAGCTGTCTGCTTGTGCTGCTTCCGGTATTACTGGTACAAGTCGCCCAATCAAGTCCTCCTTTAGGCCACTGACTGCTAATCCCTCATGCCTCAAGGCAGCCCTCAAATCCTCGCAAACCATGAGCGCCAGTACATCATGACATACTCGACGTCGTTCTTGTTCTTCAAAAAGAGAGGAACGAGGAATCGGACTAGCCGTCATTGCCGTCATCGGTTCTTGGGATTGCGGCCTTAAAGGCGGCGTAGCTGGTCTGGTTGGAGATGTTCCAACCGATGATCTTGTAGGTCTCGAAGACGTAGTAGCTCGGGGCGGCGTAGTAAGTCTCGCGGCCGATGTAGGTCTCCTTGAAGTAGTAGACGAGGATCCTGCTTCAAATAAGTCCTCGTAGTCAAGCCGTTCGGGTGCCTGACGCGGTGCCGCTCGACATCGTAGTTGACTGCCAGCTTCCTCCTTGGCAAAGCAAGCTTGGAAACATCATCAAGCTGGCGTGCCTTACGCCTTCGTTTCAGAGCTCGCCTTGCTTTTCGATACATCCACCTCCCAAACTCCCATGTAGCCACTGCGATCAACGCTGACATCAAGCATACCACGAGCAACTCGTCCCACCCTGCATGCGGTAGAGGCCCCTTCGACTCGTCTTTGTGTGCTCGAGAAGGGCATATACATTGGGCAACAACCATAAGAAATGCCAACACCTTCACCTTGATCTCTCGCACAACATCCCGGGTGAAGCCAACAAATCCTCATAGACGGAGTAGGTGATGTAGTCGTAACTTCGGCTGCATCTTTGTCGAGAGGTCGGCTAACTGTATTGCACCTGGCGTGTGACGAATCATCAGGTCACCGTTCTCCACTGCCTCTCGTACATACGACGCCCGAATCTTCAGGTGTCTTGTGCGCTGGGAACCCGGTCCTCCAGACAGCATCGAAGCTGCAGAGGTGTTGTCCACCGCCAGCACTCGTTGGAGACCCGGCCACACTTCTGATAAGAGGGCGTATACAGAGTTCAGTAGGGTACAGCCCTGCGTCGCTGCGTACAATTCAGCTTCCATGACGCTGAGCGTAACAAAACTTTGTTTCCCACTTTTCCAGGCCACCGGGGCCCCGGCTAGGGTGATGACCGCTGCTCCAAACGACCTGCGCCCAAAGGGCGCGTACGAGGCATCAGTAAATGCCACAAGCTCTGGCACTGTAGTTGGCGTAGTGGGACCCATGGTCATACGCAGGTCCTTTGTTCCAGCCAGATAGGCCATGAGCCGCTGACCACGTAGCTTGGGCGCCGCGACACAAGACTCGCAGCATGGCCAACGATGAAGCCCAAATCCGGCCTCGTACGAGTAGATAACCAAAGCATCTCCCCTACTACCCGTTGTGCCTGCCTCAAAGTTGCCTCCTCAATGTTATCCTCGACACTGTCGTTATTTTCCGCCTCTTCCACCCCTTCCCTTGGAACCGGCAAGGCTGTATGCAGGCGTCACGTTCTCCATGTCGTGTCCACGTAGTAGATCCTGAACATAGGCAGCCTGTCCAATGGTGTAGACGAAAAAGGCAGATCCCTCACCTGTAGTCCTTGGCTCTCGCCTTATCTCCATACCTAGATAACGAGCTGGGGAGCCTTCGCCAATCCACTCCAGCGGAGAAGCGGGCCAAGCCTCGGTAACAAAAGTATGGAGAGCCTCAATGATTTCGTCGAGAAATAGGCAATATCGTCGACGTAGAGGACAACCAGACCATACATCACTCCAGTGATTTCGTCCAGGATCATACAAAGCTCGGATTCCGAAACTGTAGGTCGCAGTATCAAGGTAAGGTCTCCACATCTCACCCGAGCAGTCCTCAACCTTTTGTTACGGAAGTCGCACCAAATCCTTGGCGACGCACGCAGCCCGTATAACGGGCGCTCCACAATCCATGCCTCATTGATCGCCAATCCAGCATCACGTACCAGACGGGGTGGATAGATCCCATACTTCGGTAGACCTTCTGGCCATTCTGCAAGCAAAAAGGCTCCAGTAATGTCACTGATGGCACCTACCCACTCCCTGATTGCTGCTACAACCAACGATAGTCGTAGTGCGTCAGTAGAGGCGCCGGCTGCGTATAGATCTCCGAATTCGGAGTTGTCACGTACGTGATTTCCACATATCACTAACCGGCACTTGCGCCTTGCTCGTTGTCCAGGAGTTTGAGGCGGTTTTAATGTGAAGATGCACTTGGCAGGTGCGAATGTCACCTTGTGTTCCGCCTCCAATTGGCGGGCTTCTTCAATCGTTGCTCGACGTAAACCCCCAGGTGAATAAAGCTTCCACTTCTTTGCGGATGGCTGCAGTCCACCGATCCAATGCCCTGCGCACCTGTGGCGAACGGTGTGCACAACTTGCAGATCTCCCTCCAGGCTGTCTAGCAAGGACTCGTAATCGATCTCCTCTTCCGGTGTGGGGTCTTGGCTGGCCTTAACCGCACTAAGGCAAATCGCGCTCTTAACTCGCTCAGCCTGAACCAACTCTTCGTGCACATTGTCCAGAAAGACGCTCACTTGATCCCTGGCATCCATCAAATGGGCACGAGTCGAGTCTCCAAGGCGTCTTTACGCCTCATTCAAGATCTCCTCCTCCTCAAGGAGATCCCGTAGGCGAGCTCCCGTAGGCGAGCAGCACGATCCTCTAGGTCCTGAATGGCAACCTCCAGGTCCTGGGAGAGGTGTGGCAGAGTATCTGAGTCACCCCGCTTCTCGAACCTGTCATCATATAAAACACCACCCACTTGGTCTGAGGAATCACGATGTTGTCCTGGAGCAACTGCATCTGGAACTAAACCTTCACCCACTTGATCTGAGGAATCACCAGGTTGTTCTGGAGCAACTGCATGTGGTCTGGTTTCAAACAAACCCACCTTAATCACACCAATCCTCGGAACATCACCTCCAACAGCAGGTTTGGAAAGATGTGGCTCCCAATCAAAGCCAAAGCTGCGAAGTAAATCAACCTTGTCCTGGGGCAGCTTTCCACTGTCGCGTACTGAGTAGGCCACCAAGACAACTCTCGTACCTTCGCGCCACGGCCTCGTGCTGTGCCGATACTTTGGGTTGAAGACTTGATGAGTATGGGCACCATCAAGCTCCAGCAACTTCACACCATCGGGCTCCTCCACCTCAACACCTCCACCCTTAAACCGAGACAGCCCAGCAATCAAGTTCATCCCCACATTATGTGCATCCACATGCTGCTTCGCTTCTGTATCCACTGTGATGGCGAGGGAATTGAACTTGTGGGTTGGATCCAGTTGCTTCACATAGCGAACGAGGACGCGAGTGCTGTAGGAGAAAGAAGAGGTTGCATTCTTCACCCCTGCAATCCCACCATGTACAAGTACAAACGCTCCCACCATCCAAACCTTCTGCGTCTGGGCCTGCGGACCAAACCGCTTGGGTGTTGCTGTAGTCGTCGGAAGCATCATAGCCAGAGTCTCCATCGGCTCCGCATACAAGATTTCCTCCTCACGCAAGTCCTTCGCATAGAGCTCCGCAGGGTGATCAGGGTCAATAGGAGTATCGACCTCCTGGTAATCATTTTCAACAGCAGGTGCTCCGGTTTTTGCTCGAAGCCGTCGCTCAGGATTCGGAAGTCTCACCTCATACTCCTCCAAGTCCACGATCTGATCGGAGTCCACGAGATAAGGCCTCAAATGTGTTGAGGTCATAAAGGCTCCATTGTCAAACCTGATCACATGGCCTCCGCGTACTTCTAAACTCGGCCCCACATACCGGCCAGCCTTCCATCTGGAGTCCAAGTCGTAACGACCCCCGGTGCCATAGACTTTGGAGCGCACATGCACCTTGGTCCCAAATGGCAACATAGACGATGAACCCTTCAGCACGCGTTCAAACTGCTCCTGCGTAGCATAGTTTGCTGCCACCGCCCAGTTCTCCTTACCCAGACTGGCCGCAGATAACAGTCGCTCCACTGCCGCCTTGGTCCATTTCACAGCAGCTTCAGCTCGTCCGTTCGACTGGGGCGCTTGTCCTCCGTGTAGGTAACCAAGCAGCCATCGCCGAAGAGGTTGAACTCGTAACTCCCGAGCCCGGTGGCTATGAACTCTTGACACATAAAGACCCTCAGACTTCAGTCTCAAAATGAGTTCCTGAGCCGATGAGGTCACTTCCACAGAGGTCCTTGTACGCAAGGGCCTCGCCAGATAGACGGTGACGAACTCCATCTCAGTGTCCACTTCGCGGCAAATTCGCTCAAACTCCTCCTGAGAGAGACCCCGCAGCTCATCATCACATTCCACTCCACCTCGCACACGCTTTTCTGGGACTTCTTCCATCGGATCCGTTTCATCACCTAAAGGTACAGGACCCACCCCACTTCCATCGTCACATAGGTCTAGGCCAGAATCGTCAAGCATACTAACAAGACCTCCAGCTTGTGGTACATGAGGTTCGTCGGCTTGTGGTACATGAGGTTCGTCGGTTTGTGGTACATGAGGTTCGTCGGCTTGTGGTACATGAGGTTCGTGGGCAACTGTAACCAGCCACATCATCTTCTGAATCAGCTCGGGCTTCAAAGGCGGACTCCCAAAGAAACCATCAATCCTTCCCGTAGCAGCACCCCACAGAAGGCACCGGTAGGCTCCCGCGATCATGCTAAGGTCCTCGGCCTTGGAACGGTTGATAGCAATCTGGACCAACATAGCGGAGCGAAGCTCACGTAGCTTTTCGCACTCGATCTCATAGATCAGGTCAAGGGCCTGAGAACATCGACCCACCATGGTGGGCTTAATGACGCCGTGCTCCGGGCGCCGAATGGTTAAGCCGCCACGCCTCGTCCAGGAGACCTGGCATCCAAGGTCCTGGACCAATGCCCCTGACGGGACAATCGGCCCGCTTGAAGCACCGCCCTTCGAGGCCTGGACCAGCAAAGTACCTGAAGCGTTTTGCGCCAAACAGATTTCACGTCCATCTGCAAGCTGAACCTGCACCCTATGTGCTGTGTCCATCTCCTCCTCAGTAGCCTCGCGATATGGGTGGCTTGCTCCTGAATCCGACCTTCAACAGGATCACACCCAAGTTCTGTAGCTCGTCGCTCCACCTGGGATAAAGACAGCATCTTGAGCTGCCGTATCTCCTTCAACATGGCACTCGCCTCCTTCAACAGATCCTTTGGGTCTCCTTCTGGTAGAGCCGCAGTCGAGGATGCCATCGAGGAGTTCAAAGTAGAGGCCGCGGAAGTTGAAGAACGCGATGGGCTCGGCAGGTGTAGGTAGAACTGAGGTTGCCTCGGTCGTCACCATTGCCACGTGCGCCTGGGCCGGAGCCTTTGCAACGCCTGCCTTGGCCTTAGAGGTCGGGCTCCCACTGTCTTGCCTTGTAGGACACGCAGTCTGCTGATGCAAAGTGCTACCACATGTCCAGCATCTCCCAGCTCTCTCCTTGCGAGTGAAGTTATGGGAAAAAGAGCACGCCCCACCCTTTGTACAGCTGCTTCCTCGGGCTTCCATTACCATCCATTGTGGGCTGGGACGTCTTAGGAGGAGGCGGCGCAGGAGGTAGAGAAACAGCCTTTACACTGGGCCCAGGCGTCGTTCCAGGCCTTGTCCTGAAGGCAACCTGCTCCAGCTCGGACAACAAGGCCTGCTGCAAGTCCTGAGCCCCTTTGATTGTAGGTCGGGTATCGACTTCCAAGTTGTAGCGAAGCATAGAGATGCGAAAGGCCACATCAGAATAGTCACCCAACACCGACCTCGTCATGCCATCTAGGCCTTTGATCAAAACGCTAGGGTCAGGTGGTTGTAGGCCCATATCCAATGCCCGTGCCACCCACCGGCTCCACTTTCGTAGTTCGTTTACAGCATCAGAGGGTGATCGAGCCACACTCGGCGACTCAAGAGCTTGAAGAATCTGCTGCCTCTCGGCCACCGATCCAGGCCGATACAGAACAACAACCCTGGCCAACATAGGCAAAGTCCCGGCAAATCTAGCCGCAAGGATGTCCGTCTTCACAGCCTCGGGAATACTCGCCAGAATCATTGAGGCTGCGCGCTTGTCCAGCCTCAACCAACGAGGGTTGATCAGAAAATCGGTCTCGTAGTCCAACGGCTTCATCGAAAGCTTGCCCACATGCGAAGCCGCCAAGTAAGCTTCGTAGTAGCGGGAAAGACAGGATAGCACTTCCTGCCACCACATCACCGATATCGATCGCAGAATTGGCCGAGAGGTCCGGCAACTTAGGCAGCTCCGTTTGCCCCGGCTTAATGACTTCATCCTTGGATCGCGAAATAATCGACTCCGTCATGGCATTCTGTAGCTGTGCCATTCCTTTCATCAAAGCACCCAGCGGATCATCAAGGGTGCGGCTAGTCCCCGGAGCTCGAGAAGTCGCTCCACCTGGTCCAAGGCTCCCAGCTTCAGGAGCCCTCTCATGACTCCCGCCAAGAACCCCAAGTAGATCACCACTTCGACCTCCACAAGCACCTTGGGCAATAGGAAGAGCATCAGGTCTTTCGGTAGAGCGAAGTTGAGGGGCAGGGGCTGGTTGCTTTGCTTGAGGAGCTTCTCCGGATACCCCGAAGCGATGAGGCAGCTCAGCTCGATTGCCTTCACACATCCCAGGTTCCTCTGGTACTGCGCCTCCCACAGGTCCTACTGAGGTTCCACGATCATCATGGCTCCGCCGCTCGTCCAAGCCTCTCGTCTGCACTTGCATCAGAACTCGCTCCAACATAGTCTTCAGCTGCACATGCTCAGACTGTAACATCATTCTCTCCTCTTCGTAAGTCCTCATCTCTGCTCTAACTTGTCTCTGCACCTCAGCCATAACCTGCTCTTGTGTAAGCGAGCCGCTAGACGACTCCGTCTGCGGCGGCCTAGTCTCAGCTGGATACAGATGAGGAGCACGCCGGGCCCACTGTTGCATAGCCTGCTCAGCTTCTGGAGAAAACAAGCGCTGCGACCTCGGTAGGGTACTCAGGGCCGGAGTTCTCTGCTGCCGAGTCTCCAAGATAGGCGTCATTATCGCCCCTGCCTGATTCACTCGACGTTGCACAAACTCACTGAGCCGCATGAACCACATAGGAGAGGAACCGCCTTGGCCCATAGTCCGGAAGGTCCTCAGGCGGAGAAAAAGTAAAACCTCCCACCTCCACTCGCTGCGCAGTCGTAGTAACAACAGGAGGTCGGTCGAGATAGAGCTCAGAGGAATCCGAGGCACCTCGACTGCTGTAGAGGCAGCTGGCTCCATGACCACCGCCTGCTTGTTGGTCGAGGTTGATATATCATCCATATTCGCAGAAACAGGAGCACTCATGCTAGGCTGCTAGGTCCATCCTGCCCAGGATTCAGCTCTGTTCCATTTACTAACTGACTTCCACTGTCCGGCTGCTGCAGCCCTGGAAGCATCGTAACTGTGCCATAGCCTGGTCCAGAAGTCTCCCCTTCCAGCACGGGAGTCGTACTTGGGCTCATATCCTGTTCTTGCTGAGCAAGGGTTGGTG